TGTAAGGAGTGCATTTGGGATCGAAAGAGATAACAACTTCCCATGACCGCTAATAACTTATTAAACTTTTTATATACGAAAGTACTAGTTAAACTACGAAGATTTTTCCATCGTTAATATTAATGCAGATAAATGGCTTATCAAATTATCTGCTTACATCTATTTTTCTTCTTCGTATCCACGCTTCTTAAAGCGATATCGATCAGATATAGAGGGTGTTTAAACATTACTTCTTCCTGGTGGAGGTTAATCGGTTTCTTCTGCGGTTACCAGTTAGTTTCACACGTCAAATATCCTGTTCATTCAATAAACGCGCAACCATTTAACCATTCCCACAGATGAATAGACAACAGGTGTGTAGACGATCTCCCTTCGTAACCGACCGTCTTGGGACGTACAACAGGTGGTGAACAGAAGCGAGGTCGGAGGTGAAAGGAGTCGATCGACGTGAGAATTGACTCAGGCAGTTGATACGGGATCATGAACACTAACTACCTGAGAAATTGTGTTTTTTTTTAGGTAAAACAACATTCCTGGCAGTATTCACTAGAATGAGCTTGTGGCTTTTTTGCTCAAAGTAATTTGTAAACACTTAAAAACTTGTAATGAGGAAGCAAATAAGTTAAGCTTACGGGAACCGTTCTAACGATTTTAAAATTAGAATCACCTGAAGTTTGTGTTTAAATATACATAGGTTAGACTCCCTGCATCCTTCTAAAATGTCTAATTTAAACATTTATTTTATTATTTAATTTTCAAAAAATAGATAATAAAATAACAAAATTCAACACCCGAATACAAATAAACGATTTAGAGTTAATAAAACTACAGTATTTTTATATAATAACATATGCTTTATATAGGGACTAAATGTATATATAACGTATATATAAATATACAACGTATATATGGATGTTTTATTTATCACATCGTTTCACTACTAATACTTAAGATAATCTGATAAATAAAGGTAACATACCGTATATCAAAATAGCTAATTACGAATGAAAATGTACTGATTTAATAATAATTTATGCTTTTATGCTAATACAATTTTTCAAAACATATATTAATGATTATCTATCAGATTTGTTATTTATGCTATATAATCATTGTATTTGTGACTTGACAATTTGCCTATAAAAAATATTGGGGTTCCCTCTATCACATATGAATCGACGCCCATGATAATATCCATTTGTTTCTCAGGCATCTGCTTTCAGTGTCACGAAAGTTTTCATTTTTCAAATATTGAAATTCTTTGTCTTAAATTATCGTTAGACGATATAATAAAGAACAGAATGGCNGATATTTTATTTGTTATATCGTACAATAATTAAACAAATAACATTATTCTAGTCATTAGTCTATTCAATGCAGCATGAATTTGGCGTTAGCCTTGGCCCTGGGCATCCGAATTTTGAAGTGAAGGGGGCAATACTACGTTGAAGGGGGCGACGATTCGTTAGAGGTTGAGAAACACTGGCCTAGACAAACAGACAAATACAATATTGTATAAAATTATTATTGAGTATTAAAATTAATAATAATAAAATAATTATAATTCATAATAATAAAATAATAATTAATTAATTAATAATTAATAATAAAATAATAATAACAATGAATTAAAAGTAGATGATGAAATTATTTGCCAAGTGTCGATAAATGCACCAAGTCGTGATATTGAATTAGAAGAAACAAGAAGAAGAAGACACGGTTTCGACAAATAAATAAAATAATAAAATACTCTAAATAGCTAATATTTATAAATAAAATAATATTATTACTGAAATATATATATTTATAACTTTGAAAACTTAATAAACTATTCAGGAATATGATTAAAATTTCAGTGAATATTCTTTTATCATTACATTAAAAATGAATACTTTGATATTAAAAATTTTAATTTTAAAAAATTATATTGTAAGATTTGATATTTTTTTTCAAATTATATAAAAATGTGTAAATTTTAATACCGTTTTAGAGGGGAAAATCAGAAAAAAAAATAATAAGTTTACTGTAGTTTTGTTCATCTTACAACGCCCAAAAAGGTCATAAAACGGGAGTGTTTATTGTCATTAGAACCACTACAAACAATTCGATGCTTTCATTTTCATAATTTTTTTGTTGTTTTTGTTGTAATAAATTAGCTTCTACATTATATATAATTTCTACCGTGTCAATCTTAATTTATAGTCTACGGAGATATTTAATGCGAATTTTAGTTACGCCGTGAGAGAGAGCATCTCCACCTCTGGCGCAGATCTTAATTATATCGATAAAGAAGCTTTTAAACAGTAGTCTAACCATAAAAGTATACGCCTATCTACCAAGGTTCTGAGTAAAATATTAATTTATAAATTATATCTTTACAGCAGTGAAGACCTAACTAGAATATGTTATTAGTTCTTTCGTCACTGACCTTTCAAAACAGATAATCGACTTGAAAAAACTTTAATTGGATAATTGATTTTAGATAAGCTGCAAGCACTTTACATGTTTCTAAATCAAGTTTTGTTCTCATTTCTTTGACCGTTTATTTAGAAACAGATAGCAGCAAAATGTACAGTACTCCCACGCAGCAAAATGTACTATCAAGCGCTCCATTTCTCTTCATTATTTCAATTAAGTGATGATTTCTCCTTCACTAGAGACAGAAAACTTTAAACTCTACTCAGTCGAATTGCTTAAAACCTATATCAATCAATCACAATAGAATAATCGGATAAATTACTCGTAAGATTAGATCCGAGTTATCGTTTTCTTGATGCAGATACGAATTGATAATCAAGTTTTCTGGCTTTATTTCACTATCAGAAATCCTAATATTAATTTCTAAGATTAATATTGTTTCTATCCTTAATGTTTTTCTTATTGCCTTTATCAAACAATAATAATAAAGTATCATGCGCCCTCAAATAATTTGTTATCAGTCTTAAGGTAAACAATAAAAAATATATTCTTTCATAAATTATTGCCAAATTATCGAAAATAATTAATAATTATGCTAATTTTTAAAAAAAATATATTAGTTATTAAAAGATTTTCCTGTAAAGAATCTTATTTTATAACAGGTTATATTTGAAGAGAAATAACATTTAATTGTAATTCTGATGTTTCAAAATTCTGAAGCTACAAAAAATATTTGATTATTTTTCTAAACTTTATTTTATAAATCTTCAAATTTTGCAGCAAAAGAGAAAAACAAATCCACCTTATTTGTTCTGTGACAGGTGAAATAGAAGAACGAATCCCGTTATTGGCATTTTTTTCCGACCAGAAAATTTAGCTCGCAGCATAAGCCCATGGCGGAAACATCTGATAACTGAAACTCAACTACCAGATGGCTCCTCTCTTTTTTAACCCTGTCTTCCTGTTTCAAAAATTCGGACATTCCGTGCTCAAGACCAGGTGAATGGATGCAGGTGGAAAGAAGCAAAAACAAATTTAGTTTTTGAGGAAATAGTTAGGCCAAAGCGGCAATGGAAACTGCGAAAAGGCGTTGATTGGAAACAGCTGTCAACTCCTCACGCAAAATCAAGTTAATCGATAGGTTAAACTAAATTCGATCTTGGAAATCGTTTATTCTTATTTTAAGTAAGATATAAATTCATACCTAGAAATTGCAATTCGTAAAATATATAGCTATANATTGCTTTAGAATTGGTTATAAGGCTACAAAAACTTGTGAAATTCTCTGTATTTAGATTAAATTAATTTAATAAAGAGCTTAAAATTTTATATTTTATAGAGTTTTCTTGTATTAAACCGAAATTTTAGTTAAAGTAAAAGAAAATATACTGGCTTAATGGTTATTCTCGAAATTATTTTAAAGAAAATTTCAAATCATTTTAATACGATTTCAAGCTTAAATTTTCAAACTTAAAGCTTGAAATAGCAAGCAAGAATTGTTTCATTTTAAGATAATTTTCTCTGACCTTCGACATTGAAAAGCAATTATAGGCCTATATATATAGGCCTATATATTTTTTTTTCAAATAACTCTCAAATACTTTCTACACATGTGATAGGCCAATTATCTCTCATTTTACAAATTAAAATAATGTTCTATTTATTCGATAATTATAACTTTATAGTATGCATTTTTATATAATTTACTTGCAGCAATATTAATAATTTCTTTCTAAAATAATAAATTAGATCCTAAAATTTTGCAAGAAGTTTTATCTGCAGAATTTTTTACTGGATAATTTTTTTTACCAATCAAAATATATATATATATTTTTTTTTCCGAAAAATAAATAAATTATGCGGTTAATAAATTTTTAACCCGTTCATTAAATGAATAGAATTAAGTTTAAATGTATGATTTTTATCTTAGATTATAATCTACGATTTTATGTTGTATATTTTATTGCTGCTTTTTATCCTAAAAACGAATTCGTGAAAACTAAATGAACTTCGTGTATATCTGTACGAGAAGGTAATACTTATGATACCGAGCCAATTATTTGTTTTAGTCTACAGATAATTTATAAATAATCAGTTAAATACTAAGACTAATCTCATAGGAAAATTATAGGATTAAGTGATGAATAGTTTTACTGATAATCTACGGAGAGGGCAAAGTCATCAGTTGAAGAGGCAAAAACTTCGCTTAGGCGGCCTTCCTGATGAGGCCATCTGGTATTAGATCTGTCCTGAAGGGAATAATTTTTGTAACCATTCATTAAAGATCAAAATCATTTGTGATTGATAAGAAAGAGTGTTTTTACATTTTCTGTAAAGAGTTCGTTTACATTATTTCTTTTGACATTCCTCTCATAGGCAACACATTGTAACTTATATATATATATATATATACAGTAATTACTTTTTACTGGCAAACAACTGTTAAAATTAAAACACAAATTTTCCTTAAAGTATCAGAAATGTATCTAAATTGTATAAAATGTATAAAATATCAATTCTTACAGTAATTGGAAATTTTAAAAATTTATTAGAATTTAATATATAAAACATGAGCTAAAATTTCTGGTGCAAATCACGTCTGTCTTTGCATATGAGCATTTATTCTACAAGCCAATATATATATCAAATATGATAGTGGGCTCGAGATGAATTATGATAGAATGCAACAAGGTCAGATAACAGATATATTTCACCTTCTTCGAAAAAAACGGTAATGTATAGCCTAAAGATTAGACGAAGGTGAAAAAATCATTAGAAAAATTTCAAAGTTCAGCGTTTATAATGCGTGTTGCTAACGCGAACCCTCAAAAATTCGGAATTAATAGCTTTAAGCTCACACAAAACCAACCAACGGGACAATATAGTATGTCAGGTGGTAATGGGGGAGAGGGAAGCCTACCATCTGCCCCACCTCCCAATCAGACAGGGAAAACTACACCTGTTTCCGCGGACGGACGGAGAAGGGGAACACCTGTTTATCCCCCCCACACTCCGATGAGGACCAATGGCGTGCAACCGGACTAAACAACCATTGGTTGGCCAGGGATACACCTGCAATTACCGGGAGGAAGATTCTTATTTCAGAACAAAGTTTATGTCCAACTGGATCTGTTCGAGATTCGGTGCGGATTATGGTGGAATAACGTTGCAAAGAATACAGAATCATAATGCCAAGAGCATTTTTAGTCAAGAAAACATTGCAGAGTCGCAGTAGTTGGATCGGTCAAGACACCGAGAATAGTGACCTGTCAGGTAAGTGCTGCTGTCGCCAGGTAACCTGGCGCCTAGTGCCCTAATTAGGTCAGTAGTGTCCGATTTTAAAGTTACTGTCTTACAAGACATAAGGCGTCTTTGGTGGATACAATAGATGGGTGGATTAGACGTCAATGTGCTTGTTGTCTGTCTGCCTCTCCCAAATAGGTCGATGAAAGATATATGATCTGATTTTTAGGCTAATTTTAATTTACAAATCTACGCTTTTTAATATATTATTTTCGCTAATTTGGGCTAATTTTCCGTACTCGCGCAATGAAAACTGAAACGTTTGATATATTTACTTGTTATTTACAAGTTTGGTTAAGTTTCTAGAGAATATTATGAATTCTAGTGGTAAGGTTAAGTTCCTCTGAGATTTATGATATGATGCAAATAGAAATTAATTGTTTGCAGTTTCAAATTAGTTACGAAACATGATTAAATCTCTTTATTAGAACGTCAATTTCTTAACATTTCTAATTAGAAAAATTTGCCCATTTAATGGATGGCTTATGAATATTCCATCAGAAAAATTTTCGTATATTAATATTTAGTTAATGCCTGAATCACTTTCAAGAGAGTTTATTTTTATTTTATGCTTATTTTATCCGAAATTCTTCCAAATTAGTTAAATATATTTCAAAGTACAATTTAGAAATTTTCGATTATTTTAGTGCGTAATAAACATTTTAAAATCTAATTTTGAATGCAGTTTGTATAATTATTATTCGTTATTTATTATTTTACAGAAAGCAACAGACCGCACGATCTGAGTATTAAAGCAAAAGATGCTCCGAATGAAGTGTCTACTCCACCTCCTGCAGTAGCAATGATAGGACCAACCTACAGTCAACAATACGACTTTCCATTAGAACCACTTAACCCAAATGTTCCTACAGTACTACGTACAGCGATCCAACGTCCTTATTATCCGACCTACTTTACTAATTTTGGAGGTCAGGTCAATGACGTTTATTACTATCCTCTCCCCAGTCCTTATTCATTTCAAGGACAGAATTCTTCACTCTTATCCCTTTCACCTCCTCCCAGAGATCTTCATCCAACTCTAACCGATCCTCTCAGATTGGGATGTTACGAAGGAAATCAAAGAGATAGTCTTTATCCCGCATGGAGTCCAGATTCCACAAATCCCGTCGATAACAGTGATAAAGTAGAAGAAACGAGATTTACTTGTAATTCGTGCGATAAAAGTTTCTCAACATCTAATGGCTTGTCAAAACATCGTCAGTTTCATTGCTCGTTGCATTCTAAGAAGTCTTTCAGTTGTAAACACTGCGATAAAGTCTACGTATCTTTGGGAGCGCTAAAAATGCACATCAGAACACACACTCTACCCTGCAAGTGCAAGCTCTGTGGCAAAGCATTTTCGCGACCTTGGCTCCTGCAAGGACATATCAGGACACATACTGGAGAGAAACCTTTCGCCTGTTCGCATTGCAATCGGGCTTTTGCAGATCGCTCGAATCTGAGGGCTCATCTACAGACTCATTCCGACGTAAAGAAGTATAGTTGCCGAATGTGTACGAAAACTTTCTCGCGTATGTCTCTGTTAACGAAACACGAGGAAGGCGGTGGTTGTATAGGATCCAATCAGACCTCTAGATCGTCTTAAATTACAATTTCTACTAATGTTTCTCGTGCAGGAGACGTAAAGTCCGACGTTCCACCCATTATTTGACTGATGAATCCGACTCCATGGGTGTATATTGTTTTAGGCAACTTTTTTAAACGCCTACGTGGTTGGGATGATGCACCAAACCCGACGTAATCTTTTGATTTATCAGCTAAGGGCACGAAGAGCTTTTATCTCACGTTACGTAATACTTCCTTGAAGATTCGTTGCCCGTTTCGGATATAGAAAATAACAAAAGAACTGCAATTCGAAAAGAACGGAAGAAAGAAGTCATTTAAATTTTATACATTAACATTTTTTTAAAAGCAAGTATCAATTATGTTTTGATTTTTTATAGAAGATGTAAGGGCAATTTTCCTCACTTTTTAGTTTTAACTTAACATTCTTATCAACCAGAAGAAATTTTTGAGAAAAGTTACTTTGAAATTACATCCGAAGTTGAACTTATTTATAGAAGAAAAATCACCGATCCAACGGTTAAAAGTCTTAAAATATGACACTTCTACACCATTAAAATTTGATTTAAAACAAAACTTATTTCTCTGGACGAAGCTCGTCTACTTTCATTTCTTTATAAAAGCCCGAAATCGATAGTCTCTGGAAATTGCCAGATTTGTATATTGTATTTATTAATTTTAATATTTGCACTAAAAGTCAATTTTTTAAATATTTTTTGTAAATAATAAATAATCATTTTTTTCTTTTTTTTAATAAGTATTCACACGAAAATTTTCCTGAATTCGCACGTGCCATATTTAATCCCTCCCTAGTCATATATGTATTTTATTCATAAAAAAAATAATAATTTTATAATGAACGAATTAAAATATTTTTCCAATAAGATGTTTAAAAGAAAATTTGTTAGAGTAAAAAAGAAATAAAATCCAAAACTGATTTCTTGATTTTTGTTCTCTTTCTACAAAACAAAAAAAATTTACAAAATAAACTATCAAGTCGCGAACTAATTCTATTAATTTAAAATTTTATTTTTTGTAAATTAATTAAATTCATAGTTTCAAATTTTACATTAAATATTAAATGGATTTTAAAAGTAATTTCACAATAAAATCTCTCTTTTGTGCTCAAGAAAGTGTTAAATTATAACCAAAATATTTTGAAAATTCTAATGTTAGGATACTCAAAAACTAAAGGAATTAACCGGTTACTTTAATGAAAATAATTCTTTTTTCTTCTTCTTCTTCTTCTTCTTCTTCTATCTTTCCTAATCGCCATAGTTCTCACAGAAATAAATTACCTCATTCTCATTAGTTGTCAACCGGATTGAGTACATCTTAAGAAAAAAAAAATAGAAATAATAAATAAGAATCAAATGAAGCAGAAATCAAGTTCAAGGATAATTGGTCTTATTTTCTTTTTACATCTCTCTTTTTTCCTTTTTTTTATATCAGGGCAAATCTGCTTATGTTTGCAAATTATGTAAGTTATATATAGACTTAAACTTATAAAATTAAAAATAAAATAATAATAATAATAATAAACTGAAATTTTTGCTTATTACTTTTAATTATTCCCTTTATGTTTACACTTTATTTTTCTGTAAAGAATAACAGCAACTCTTTCTAAGATTAATAGAGAAATGCATCTAAGGAAAATCTGTCTATGATTATATATTAAATTGATTTTTATGTACTATTTCGCTTATAGTTTCATCACTTTTATGAGAAAATAAATAAACTATATTATGAGAAAAATGTTTATAAGAAAATAAAAAAATAACGCATTAAATTATATTAAAATAATAAAGAATAATTCATTTTTAAATGGCCAGAAGGAAAGAACTCAATGTTGTATCTATCTGAAATTACCCATTGATAAAATCTGACTCAGTACTTCTGTTAAATTAACATAAAACATGGACGTATATGAAAAAAGTATAGATATGATTCTCTTAATCAGCCTTTCAGATCAGTAAATCATTATTAACTACATCCATTCTAAAAAGGACTGGCTCGTATAATTATTTTTTATACTCATCATACTCTTCCTTTAATCATATTCCCATGGGGCATGTTTTATTACTTTTTGATGAAGTGTAGCAGCCCCTAAAAGCACATAAAATAGTCTCGACTGTGGAATACTTCACAGCAAACTTAAAATAGGAAAAACATAAACATAAATCACTCCCAAAAAATCCGAAATTGATGGGTTAAAGCCCTGTAAGAGAGCGTTAAACTAAACTGTAAACATCATTGAAAAGAAAGAAAAATGAAGGAAATAACTTATACATAAATCGATGTAAAGTAATGATTAATTCGGAAAACATAAAGTAAAATTCATTGCTTTCAATTGCTATGTTTTAACATTTCTGTCGTATGTTAAATTTCACATAATTATCTGTTTATCGAATTGGTCGCGTTTTGCGGGTCACGGTAGGCTTGAGAAGGAAAATGGAGAATTTATTACGGGTTAAATTCAGGTATTTCAGGAATGACCCCATTAAATATTGGATGATTACACAATTTACAATTCATTATTTTGATTTACTGTAGTTAATATGTAAAAAATAAAAATTACTGTATTCAAAAAAAAAAATATTGAAATAAAAAGCATCATAAAATTTTCTAGTTTTTGTTGTTTTTAATCTTAATATAAGATCATAAATTTTCATTAAATATACTTGCACTGGAAATTGTTTTTTATGTCTTTAAATCTAAACAGATAAATAATAAAGTTCAAATAAAGATGACATTGCAAAATTCTGTGTAACAAAATTCACTCGGGTATCAAACTAAACGAGAACAGATTAAGAGAAAATGAAGAATAATGAAATATTAACATACAAAATTGCATATTTACAATGTGTGACACCAGCCAAACGGAAACTGTAGAGATTCATTTGGAACTTTTTTTTTAGTAATACGTTTATTTAGATCTTTGCTATTTGTAATTAATTATTTTTCTGACTTCACATAAATTACATTATCAGATTTGTAAATCGGATGACATATTTTTATTTTTTATAATAAAATAATTACGTATCGTATGTCCCAGAAGTGTTTCCAGGTGTCGTTAAGAGACATCGGGAATAGGTCTACAGGTAAAATTTTTTTCTTTTATAAATACTGTATATCTAAAAAGGCATATATTTTTGGTTAAAGAGGAGTATATACTCCTCTACTCCTCCCTGAATATAAATATATAACAAGAATCAATTTGCAAGAGTCCTTCTTTTATCTATGCAACATATAACTTTAAATTGTCCATTTACTATAACGGCAGTTAATTAATAATATCCAAAATAAAATTTCGCTTTAAAAAACGTAACTAATGATGCATTAACACGAAATTTTTCGAATGCCATTTTGAAAATTCCGAGCAGTGAATACTAACTTTTAATTTCTATATAAATGAATGTTAGTAATTAATGACAAGCATTGTCTATAGGATAGGAAGTAGTTCAGTTCCGGCCGTATAATCCCAAATCATGTGCCTTCCTTCCCGGAAGTCCCCACGCTTTGAACACCTGTATATTTTCGTTCTCTACTTTTCTCGGTACAATATTAGTTTGCAGTTTTGTGTAGACACGTGGCTAGGAGGAGATACGCCTCAATAGACTGGACAGACGGTAGGAGTTTACAAACCATTATACAGCTGGTAAAGGTCAAAGAGAGTGGCCTTCTTTGTTCTTTCTCTCTTCCAATTGCTGTTATTTCCAGTTTTAAAAAAGAAAAATCTGTTCTTTCAACATATCACTTCCATCTACTTGTTTGATGTATTTATTTATTTATTATTATTTTTTTTATGTTGCATTACATGCAAGTTTCTCTGATTAAGTTAAACGGAATTAATTTTTATCTAATTTTAACGAAAGATAATCTATTTATTTGTGTTATATATATATATATATATAACTGAAGCGTTTATATTCTATTAATTTTTCTAGGATTTATTTTTTGTGAGTTTAATAATAAAAAATAGTTGAGTATCAAACTTATTATATAGATTTCTTTAAGTATAAAGAAATTAATTATTTTTGAGTTTAATTAATTGGTAAAAATCCTATTTGAATATATGATCCTCTGAACAATGTCCACTAACGGGAACGTAAAAAATTACCGTTGTTTGGCATTTATTTTCTATTCAGTTTTGCTTTAAAAAAAAAATCCATTTTTTGCTATTTAGAGGGAACGGTGTTGAATGTTGGACAGTAGTTAATAATAGCCCTTAAAATTATTTTCTCTTTTTTCATTCAGTTAATATAAAATAAAGTTAAAGATATTGTTTTAAGCTATAAATTAATGTTATATAATAAGAAATCGTTACCAATATAGCATTATAGTTTAAAATGCTGAAGGCTAACAGTATATTCCCCATTAGTTGAATACAAAAACTAAACATAGAAACACAGATTTACATGAACTTAAAATTGTTCTGTGGATATTAAATTCGAATTATAATTAGATTAATATCTGACTAGTGAAATTTTATACGAAACCGCAGTTATATAATAATTTTTTCCGCTTGGTATCCAGCTGTCATTTCCCGACACGCAATGAAAACTACCAATCGACCAATAGAAATTTCATTTAATTTATAACAACGACGAATGACAGGTGCTGAACGTTACTCCGATCTTTATACATTAAAAAAAAAAAAAAAGTATTTCGATACAATACAACTGAGTAAAAAAATTCGGTAAAGAACATTTCTATACAGGAATTTACAGGACACATTGAAAGCATATGCTCAGTAATTGGAATGATGGTATTAAAATTGCTCGTGTTGGGTATGTTAAATAGGGTAAAACGTTTCACATAAATGTACTGGAGTGGCTTAGATAGTAAAAAAAAAAAATTAAGTAAAATTAAGTCAAGTAAAAAAAAAAATTCATCCGATTATGATTTCGCAGCTGTATAACGTTTTTCTTGTATCATCATAAAAATAAAACATGGATTAATTTAAGAGTTGAAACAAGCTTGTTTCATACATAAGAAATACTGTATTGCAGCATCACCTGCAGAAATTTAGATGAATTTCAAATACACTTATATATTAATACACCAATTCTTGCATAGTTATAATAATGCTGCAAGAATTGCAACTTTCAGATAATGAATGTAATGTTATTACTGTATATAACTGATAAATACAGTCTAAAACAGTGTTTCTCAACCTCTAACGAATCGTCGCTCCCTTCAATAATACCGTTACGTAGTATCGCCCCTTCACTTCAAAATTCCGATGCCGAGGGACAAGGCTAACGCCAAATTCGTACTGCATCGAATAGACTAGTGACTAGTTTAATGTTATTGTGGGACAGAGGGAGTATCTTTTATAAAATGTCAGAAAATTACTTAAATTAAGTTCTTATTAAAGTATATGATTATTCTTAAATGAAATTAACCAGCGAGTTTCCGTCTTGTCGGAAGTAACAAGTCCTTTCTTTATTTTCATGGCTAGGTCCACCGGGTGAGGTAAACCAGGCAATATATACGGGATGGGTAAATCCCGTATATATTGGCGAAAAATTCCCGGATTGGCGTTCGAATCCGGACGAACAACCGGTGGAACGATAGGTCGGACCGGGGTGAAAAGAGCATCCGGAAAAGAAAATAAGTAGAGCCAACAGAGTATTTAACCCGATAAATATTGATTTGAANCAAAATATAAATTGTTACTATTCGCCCCCTCAACATGGGAAAACGCCCACATGGGGGCGATATCGCCCCCGTTGAGAAACACTGGTCTAAAAGAACTGATAATGTTGCAGAAATTGCAACATTATATCAACTTTTTTTTGTATTAATAATGATAATTGTTATATTAATCAATTACTACTCGAGTAATAATTTATTAATGAAATAATTTAATATTTAAATATATAAGGTGCTTTAAAAATATTAATTAACACTTATATGCAGTGCGCAGTGACTGCAACAAGGGTAATAGGACCGTACTTTTTCAGAACTTCACAAATTGGATCGTAACTTCTTGCAACATGATGAAGTTCGCAGAGAACAACCTGCCATTATAAATCCGGCAAAACAAATTACTTTCATGTGTGTTAAAATTTTGAAGCACCCTGTATATCAAGGACGTGCACACGTGGTTTTGAGGGATTTAGCCCCTCCCATTTGGAAAGAATTATAAATTAAATAGTATTATATTGTATGTAACGTATATTTATATAACTTAATTTACTAGTTTTTACAATACAGGTACTACATGTTATGAAAAAATCATGCTTTTAAAAACCCCACCCTTCTAAAAATTATACGCACGGGTATGATATATCAATTATATTTCAATATAACTTAATTAGATTTGAAACAAATACTTTAAAAAAATCAAATACAGTAAAAATTGCGTAAACCGAAGAATTTTTACCGTTTTCGACAGGTTTCACCGTATAACACGAATGTATAATTAATTGAAAAGTATAGGCCTAGAGTTCATTCTAACGTAATTTAACACAAATCCGTTCTCATATTCATTAAAGAATATAAAGAGCAAATTCTTTAAAACTCTTATCAGTCATTAACTCACCTTTTAATTATGTGTAAATAAATAACGCTTAAAGGATAAATCATCTCGATTCCAAGAAATAGACCAATATAGAAAAAATAAGAGGACGTGTTCCGAATTATCAAGTTTAGTTGTTCGGTTTTTTACACCAACTAATTAATTTCTTTAGTGCTATTCTAGAATAAAAATTAAACACTTCTATATAAAGATAAGGAAAACTTCATTTCATCTGTTATAACATGAATGAATTTTTAGTAGGTCTACTTGGCAAATTTATCATTTTGAAAGCTCAAGTTTATTTTAATTCAATTGAAAAGTCTAATAGTGTTTGGCTTTTATTGGTTTCATATGCTTTAGAAATTAATACGTTATAATTTTATAGCTGCAAGTAGTTTGCTAAGTTGATAAACAGTTGTACAATATAACTAATACTCTGTTCAACAGAATGGCCTTTACTAGAATGACCGTCAACGGTCAGTTATTACAAATTAATCGATAATTTAGTGAAATTTTCATAAGATAAATTGAAAATACATTTGAGATTCGTTATATAGACATATATATATAATTACTTTGTTGTATTATTATATGGATCAAAGAAGTTAACGCGCAAATAAACCACGTATTTAATAAATTATTAAGTAAATTCATTAGATTAAGTGTATGAAATATTCAATAAATAGATATAATTATTTTACTCGATATTTCTTTTACTTTATACTACGTGGATTCACATAGAGACGTCGCCATATTAAATGCTGCTGTAGTAGCGAAGGTTGTGGTCTCTTTAGCCATAACTCAACTAAATATATTACTGAGTGTAGTTCATTTTGTCGTCCCGTTGGAAGCATTCCGATTTTTATTTAATAGTTACATTATTTATATGTGGTTAAAAAACTTAATTACTATATTCAATGTTATTAATGAAATTTAATATTAGAACAATAATACTGTTCAGTATTTTTCTTCCATAAAATAATATCAATGCTATAAATAAAATCTTAGTCTGTTAATAGTTATTTAAGAAACCCAGCATTTTATTTATTAGTCGTTCATCTTTTCATATGCAAAGAATTTTATTGCCTTGAAGTACTTAGTGGAAAACAATAAAAAAAAACTAAGCCTAATACACTGCTTAATTATTTATTAAAATGGAATCAATTAAATTATAATTAATTTCGTTCACAGCATCTAAATATAATTAGATTTGAAAATAATTCTTTGGTAATTTAGGATAGATATGGCCAATGGCTGTATAATTTAACTAATCATAGTAACTTGGAACAGACTTTTATGTATATGTATGTATAGAAGTAAATTTCATTCATCTTAAATTTTTATTAATTTATTATTATGAAAATTACATTATTAAAACCAGTCAAAAATATACTTTAATGTATTGATACTTTGTTATTTAATTTTATATAAAAATAAATAATGTATTAGATTCATGAGTTAGTTGGTCTAATATGCTATTAAATAAATTAATTTTTAATTAAAAAAACAACTTCTTAACTTTAATTGTTATGTATCAATTTGGAGAAGAATTGACACACAATAATTGAAAAAAATATTTCAGAAATTTATGCTTTTTAACAAGTTGACAAAGTATTTACATCATCTCTCACCGAGAAATTGGTATTAAATGATACAGTGATGAAATAAAACTATCTTTATACTAATTATTCATTATACACAATATTAAAAGAATTAGAGGTAATCTAAATAAGTTTTAAGTATTATAAATCTCTAAACTTTAAAAATTGTTCATTCTGAAAAATTTATTGTTATTCTGAACCAAAATATATGATTAAATGATACAATTATTTTAATAAAATAGTAAATATCAAATGTTTCATTTCTAAAGAATGCTTTATTCAACATAAAAGATGACCAGTTGTTTTTCTTAATACAGAATTTCATATTAAAAAGTCTTTAAACAAGCTTAAGAATTATTAGAAAATGTTATCCAAATAAAGTATGTAGACAGTTTTGAGCAATTTTAAAAATACATTACAATATACTTTTTCTTTTAAAAAACAAAACATAGAGTTTGGACAACGGGATAAATTATATCTTCTTTTCACTCGTTGATATTCAAATTATAGACAATCAAATTTTAAATGTATTTCTTCTCTGTTAAAGAATTTTTTATGTATCTAGTTTTAAAAAGAAAGTTATTTCTATCTGTAAAAGTGTATAAATGTTCTAGAAATATTTTATTGTTCACATTAGAACAAGGCAAATATTGTATATGTGTTCATAAATAAAGATAGTCTATAAAATAATGTTATTTTATGGAGCATTGCAATAACTGCAATATATAATAGTATCTTCTTAAATAAGTCGTACAAAAATGTACGAAAATTCTGATAGTCGCATTTGAATATTTTCAAACTCTAAAATCAATTTTCAATAATAATATTGCCATGACAAAAGTATTTTTGATATCTAACTTAAATTGAAACTAATTATTAATTTATAGTCATTTTTTAAAATTAAGATTTGGTAGTGGATCAGATGCAAGATGAAAATCACCCATTCCTTTCTTTGCTGCTGAAGTAATCTCATCCATACTTTTTACAGTTTTATTTGTTAATTCTTGAACTTCTGTATTTATTTTGGAGATAACCCATTCCATAGCTTGTCTACCCTAATTTAAAGAAAACAAAATTTATATTAAGTATATATTTCTCAAAAAATAGTACCAATTAATTATATAAGAAGAGAACATTTTATTAATTTAAGTAAAGAAAATATTGTTGAATCTAATTATTAATTTATTTTTATAATAATTTTTTTTTAGGCAGCCTGTTCTGTTTTCACTTTACACAGTACTACTATATATAATGAAAAATAGACTTAAATTATATAACTATCAAATTTTTATTCTTTTTAAATATATCTCATAAATATTTAAAAATACTACATTTTGTATATTATATAATTTTTTTAACTTTTTAGTTTTAATAAATGTAGTAATTTTGAATATTATGGAATATTAAAAGATGAAAGAAAATGAAGCCAAGTATTTGTATATTTATATTTTACTTAATAGTAGAAGAGAGAAACTAATAAAACTAAAAGGACATTAACTGAATTTGAGAGAAAATAGTGATCTGAATTGCTTAGAGATGAAAATTGATTTTTATTAAAAAGTAATTCAAGAAGAGTTACTGATTGAAATGTTTGCAAAACCTGTGAAGTAATATTTGTCACAGATTTTTTTAATATTAAAAAAAACCTCTATACACATTTCTGATTTGTTATGCATGCATGAATATATGTATGATTACTTTGTATATCTTAAATACAGAAATGACATCACTATTGCAACGTGTTTGATTGTATATTGTAGCAGCAGATAAAATTTTATGCTTCATTCTGTAATTATTTATACCAATTAAGACAGAGTTATTATTAAAAGATACTATTACTATCCACAGAACTAATATATTATATTTATGATATTGAATATACTTGAGATCTAATATTTTCATAAATTATACAATTTTTGAAAAAGAGTCCTCAATTAAATTTCTTACTGATTAAATTTTTTCTTTTTTAAATTTTGTTCATTTTACAAAAGCAAACTATATACTTCTTAACTGCATATTTATCCTATGACAAAAATTCTTTTAATACACATTAATACATTTATAAATGGACATTTAAATTTTCCATTAATTCAACAATATATGGTTTTGTTGAGTCCTGAGGAATCTTTATTCTCATTATTCTTACAAACACATTTTGGATTTAGGCATTTTTATGCCATCCTTCAGCTACAATAAGAATTAAATATACAGTAAAACTTCTCTAACTCAGATATTTATTTAACTCAAAGAAAGCAAAACTCTTGATAGGTTTCAGTGGAATAGAATAGAGATTCGTCTCCAACTTGAATTTCTTAACTCAAATTTCCTCCAACTAATTTATATAAACTACTAAATACAAAGGTTAATTTATAAAAACAAAACACAGTGACAGTTTTAAAGGTTAAAGTCTGAAAAAGTTTTTAATTTATATTATTTTCAACTTCCCCCAACTCAAATTTTAATATTTATTCTCTCCAAAGAGATCCTAATTATTGGATTTTCATGAAATTTTCAGATAGATAGTTGTATACTCTCCAACACCAATTTTCAGACAATGTTCCAGTCCAAAGTGAGAGGTCCTCTCACTTTGGACTGGAACATTGTCCAAAGTGAATCTCACTCAGTACATCTTGTTGTGATAAAGTGAGACTTTATCACAACAAGATGTACTGTACTTACAAAACTGTTCACTTCCATTAGTTACATTGGACACTTTGCTGAAAGGCATTACACATGTTGTTAAAAAAAATTAAAAATATCAAAGAATCTTTATATAATGCAAGAGAGATAAAAATACTAATCTATTCAGAATCTGCATTTTTTACTCTATTGTTCTCTAACTTGAATCATCAGTAACTTGGAAGTTTTTTCCTGCCTCCCTGGAGCTTAGAGTTAGAGAAGTCTTAGTGTATTAATAATAATATTGTCAACAGGACATCTAAATTTCATGTCAACTTACTGTTTTTTTACAGTTGATTTTCACAAAACATTTTTTAAAAGTAATCATAATAATCATTCCATCACCCAACATAAGTGTTTTTAGTTACATTTTAGCCTGTTTAGTACAATAAACATCATCAGAAATTTTAAACAAATAATTGAAAATCTATTATCTGAAAGGAAATAAAAAAAAAGCCTACATCTGAAATGCATGTATAAAAAAAAAAATGAGAATAAAGATTTCTCAGAAAACAACAAAGACCATATGTTGTTGGAGTTAATGAAAAATCAAGTGACCAAATACATGTATACAATAATCACCAACTTCCTTAAACAGTGAATTCATATAACACTAAATTATTTTAGTTGGCCTCAATGAATATAATGCATAACAACTAATTATATATATTCCTGAAATTCATCTTGATTTTACTCCTTTTATAATAAGGAAAAAGTGGATACCATTTTATCTGTAATTATATTTTGGAATTTACTGTTCAATTTTTAAAATTGATGATCTTTTTCATAAGTAACATAATCTATTTTAAATTCTAAATTATAAGAAATAATAAGTACATTTACACATGGCATCATACTAAAATTTGAAATTTTTTGAAAATTCTGCATTTATACTGTAATTAAATTTTTTCTAACACGTTATTTGAAAAATTGTTTGAATATAGAATCATTCTAAAACGTTTGTTAAAGCAATAAATGTTGGTTCTCAGCAATATAAGGTGTGTGTGTCAATGTTATTTGAAACTCAAGATTCTGGTGATAAAACAGTATCATAATATATTTTCCTTATGTTCAATTTTTTAAAAATAATTTTAAATAAAGTTAATAAATAACTTTTATTCATTATTTAATGCAATATTTAATAGTTATTTATAATTTTAGCTTTTGTTTGAAGAAACTAAAGTCTTTATTTCTTGTGACAAGATGTAGAAGCACTTTAATAATAAAAATAATAATATACAATGAAAAAAATTAGCACATTCTTTACAATACTGACACATTTTCTAATGATTTTTTACTTTCTGATCTAAAGTATTATTTTTTGTTATAACAATTATTATTATTTTATTTTATTATCTGCAAGCTAAAATATAGAAGACTGTTGCAATTTCTCATTAAAAAAGAATAAAAAAAATGTGTATTTTTCAAATAAAATGACTGGTAATAATTGAAAATTACATTAAGAGAAAAAATTTAATTATTCTGATTTCCAAGTATAATCATTCAACAAATTTCATTTTATATAAAATTTGAGAGAGAAATAATCAATCATTCTTAAATCATTTATTGTCATAAATGCCTTGCACAAAATCATTTTATCCAGCTAAGAATATTTACTTAACAGATATAAAATAATTTGAAAAAATATTAACTTTTTACTGGAAAGAATTATAAAATATTAAATTTCAAAATTTGAAAGTATACTTTCAAAAAATTGTACAGAAATGTGTGTATTTTCTTCTATTACACAACCTGCTTTCATAAAAGTTCAGCCACATAACAAAAGTTATTGTTTAACTTTGGTAATCTAGTTTATAATAAATTGATTTTATTTACAGTAAAGCTATTGCCATTATTCGAAAATGACAATGTGTTTTACTACAAATATTCTGTATGCTATTTTTTAGCACAAAAAAAGTAAATAAAAATCATTACATTTCAAAAATCTCTGGCCATGTCAGTTGTGTTGCTAAATACTTCAGCCTGTGGGGATTAGTATTTGGTGAAGTTGTGTTTTGCATAGGAAAGCTGATGCAACCAAATCTAACATTTTATTTACAAGTTGTAAACAAGAATCAACAGGTTTTTTCCATTCTTGTTTTAATACTGTATGCATTTTCAAACTGCTTTCTTCAATATTTTCTAAGATTTTTGATGAGTGACATGTTAGGCTGTTTACTGGCCATGGAAGTTCACTTCCATGATGCTCAAACCAGGACTTGATAATTTCTGCCATATGACAACAGATATTATCCAATTGAAAGATAATACCATTATCAGGATAGAAACAAGAAATTGTTAACAAAAGATTTTCTTCCAGAATCTTGAATATTCTGTGGAGTTCTATCAACAATGTGCAGAGCACCAATATCTTTGGCATTTATATACCCTCATACCATAACACTCAACAAAAATTTAAGTGCAGCAAAGGCAACTGGACTAAAAGATTTCATGTTTTTGTCATAATACTTTGCCATTGTTGTATCCTGTTCTCATGTTCTTTAGCCCAGACAAATCTTGCTTTATGCTGTTTAACAGTAAGAAGGGATTTTCTTTTATCTTATAAGATGAATAATCTATGCTTGAGTTGACACCTGTATGTTATACTTGATACATCTTTCTTAATAATGCTAGTCCAGTCTGATGTTATTTTTGGCAACATTGTATGTCGATTAGCCTTTACAATGTGGATTAGTGTCCCATTTTCGTACCTGCTGTTTGAGGTCATCCTGAAAATTTTCCAATTGAAGGTGGCAGATCCAAATCTCCCAAGCAGATCTGCCTTCTTTATGTAATTTAATAATTTATTTCACACCTATCTTTTTTAAAAAGCTTTTTCACATACCATTTTTAGAACATATCATGATGGCATATTGAAGTTATGACTTCCAAGTTAATATATATAATCGAGATGGGTTGATAATAATAATAAGTGCAGAGTCCAAATGGTTAGGAGTTGAAAGTTGAAATTTGGTACACAGTTAGGGTACATCACGAGAACACACACTAAGAAGGGATTTTCCGAATAAACATTCTATTGAATACCCCCCAATATGAAAGATTAGGAATTAAGATTTGAAATTAAGATTAGGGAGAGGATTAAGGCTTACCCTGAAGAACTCAGCTTCTATTGTACTATTTTAGATGCAGTTTTTTGCATTTTTGACTGCATTTTAGTAGGCTACCACATTTAGTAGGGTACTACGGAGGATGAAAGAAGTGTATTCTTAACAATGGAAGTGTTAAGAGAAAGCGGCGTTCAAGATGTACAGGCACAGATGTGGTTTTTTGTGGTTTGTGGGAAATCAAACACATTTTTAGACCCATGTAAAAATTCTCTAATTAGTCTGGAAACGGGGGATCTAATTCTTGCATTCTGTGAAAACAGGTAAAATTGGCTATAATGTAATTATCTTAATCTTCGCTATCGTTACTTTTTGCCCAAGCAATGCCGAGCTTATCTGCTAGTTTATATATAAAACTAAAAAATTTTCTTTCAATGAAACATTGCACAATTTTATTTTTAAATATACATGATAATTTTTAAACATTAACTGCTGTTTGATCAAAGTATTTTGAAACAAGTGTTTGTTTATTATTACAGTATTTTATTTTGCAGTTCAAATAACATGTAGACATTTTTCTATTACCATGTTATAATAAAAACAACCTTGTGTTTTAATAATATGTATTATCTATCTGTAAATAAAACATTCTATTGAATACCATGTTTACAAGTTAAATAAGAGCTTCTTGAACACAGTCAAATTTGTATGAAAGCAGGCTGTAAATTCTAAATTATGTAAATTCCCCAGGAATTAAAATCTTATGTATATCAAATCAGACTGCCTGTTTAGTATTTTAAATAAAAATAAAAATTTCATATAACAGATCAGAACTCACTTTTCCTGCATTTGAAGATATTGTTCCCGCAACGAAATCTTCCAAATAGCTACTTAATGGAACTCCTTTAATAGTAACTATGGCTTCTTGTTTTAATAAAGTACTGAAAGGAAATAATATACCATAAATTACATATTTGCAACAATATTTAATAATTCAGTTGTAAAATTATGTATGTATGAAATAGCAGCCTGATTCTATAAAACTTTGAAAAAGTTATGTAAAAATATTAAAATTATATATAAAATTTTTTAAACATTATTATTATACTTATAAGTAAATAAGCAATCACTTAATTTCTTTAACTATTAAACAAAAATACTGCAATACAGAAATAAATCTTTGAAAAAGATAGAGATGTAATGATACCAAACTGATACATTGCTGCATCAGAATGTTACATTTATTGGCATCAGTTCATTTACAAACCAATGTTTTGATTTTTGGTTAGTATCAGAAAAAGAGAGCAAGCAGAGCAAGTTTCTAAAACAAACCAATCCTTTTGATGAGTACTGATATATCATCGCTAGAAAAAAACAATCTTCACATACTAGTTATAATTAAATCCTACTCTAGAACAAAAAAAAAATTGAATCTAGAACTTATTTATTTATTAAATACATTATTTTCACTAAAATATATAGCAATATAAATTATATTTTATTATTAAAAACACAAAATAAAAAAAATAAAATGCTCTTTTATAATAATCCATAGTTTTACAATGCTATCTTCCTTAATGGAACTGTTTTTGCCTCTCAAAAACATGGTGTCCATCCCAAGCTATTCTTTGAAGTCACAACACACAAGTCCACATGACCTCTACGATCTCTGGTCAACAAATGCTCACATTCAATGTATTATTTGGAGAGTGCACTTGTTAAAAAACTTAGCTCCCTCTTCCTACGTCACACTTTGTGATTATCTTTGCATTTGAAGCAAGATCAGTTCTTTCTACCACTCTTGCACCACTCCCCACACAAGGATACTGCTTTTACAAAACTGACATAGTATTACTGTACCCTTTGACACTGCAATACAAAGCTGTTATGCTAGCAAATGCAATGCTTATTAGGAAAGGTCACTCAGCTCCACAAATATTTTATTATATTTTTCTAACATTGCTCAAATAGCAAAATATAAATTTATTATGTAATTCAAAACAAAATTAGTTCATAAAAATGAAAAATATGCAATATTTTAATAGCAATGCTGCATTATATGCATTTATCTTATTTATTTATTAACTTATTTGCACCAATATAATGCAAATAGAGAATAATAGAACTCTCCTAGAGATGAAAAAATATGTATCCAAATAATAGTCATTTAAGATGAATGCATTCAAAATTGCTCTTTATGCTGGACCATTTGTACTGTTGTTTAGAGAATAGGCTAACCATTGAGATTTTTTAATGTGATCTATAAATTCTCTCTTAGATCTCCCATCTGTTTTTTTCCTGTTAGGCCAAATCATGAATTTTCTTTATGAACAGTAAAACTGATTCAAGATGGGAATATTGGAGAATGAAAACATCAACCAAATTACATCTTGCTTATGTCACTTATCTATAGTACAATATGTTTTCTTATATGTTGTTTTCACTTAACATTGATTTCTGAGAACTTACTGACATGTTAAATGGGGGCTTGCTGTACCAGTATTTAATGGTTTTATCCACTCAGCTACTAGTGGGTCTTACAGGTCACAGAGTACTCTGTTCAGAGTACAATTTGGTAATTGATAATTGAAACTATTTTCCATATCTAAAAAGCTAAAATTTGCTTATTCACAGAAAAATTAACAAAAATGATGAACAATAGATGAAGAAAAATTAGTTTTAATGTTTTTATTGTAAATGTTTTACTGAAGTTCATGTTCTCAACCATTAGACTGCTTTAGTGAATACTACCTCATAGTTTCTGAAATTATTGAACAACCTCATATAACACAATAGCTATATTCTGAAAAAGTGTCATGTACAAATCCATTCTATACAAAACAAAGGACTAATACAAAACATGGAGTTAGGTTCCAAAAGTTAATAAAAGTATATTATTCCTTTTCATATTAAAAGAAGTACAGTAATACCTTGGTTTTCATCGGTTTCAGTTTACGTTGATATTTTCTACAAAAAATTTGTCTCAGTTTTTGTTGGCGTGCTCATATGACTTCACTGCTAATTTTGCAAAAGCAAAGAGCGACCTATCCATTCTGTTGCTCAGCATGGTGTTGTTTCTTATTGTGTGAGCATTACCCTGTGTGTCTAACCAAACAATTCCATTGCTTTCCTTTCCTTTTAGCTCCATCATGGAGCCAAAGAAAATTTCCAGAGCCAGCAGCCCTTCAAAGAAGAAGGCCAGGAACATGATCAACTTGAAGAAAATCATTGAAAAATACTACAGTAGCATTAAGATTGCTGAAATCAGGAAGTTGAAGTTCCATTGTGGCAAAAAAGAAAGCAATAAAGGAGGCTAATGCAGCAAAAGGCATGAATGTGCCAACAAAACAAGGATTGCAAACAATTGAAGATGTCGAACAGTCATTATTAATTTGGATAAATAAAAAACAGATGGCAATTCTGTTTCAGAGACCATCATATTAGTCTTTCATACTCATTTCTTGTTGTTTTCAGTATTAAATACTATACTTGATCTCTATAAAATGTAGTTTTGGTATGTATTTTGAAGTGTCTAGAACAAATTAATTGGATTTATATTGATTCTTATAGAAATAACTGCCTCGGTTTTGGATTTCGCCGATTGTTTTTGGACAGATTATTGATGAAAACTGAGGTATCACTGTATGTTTATTAAGACAATCAATAATTAACTAACAATCACAATTAAAAGTACTATATTACTCATTAATATTCATTTTCGTTAAATGAGGACCTTTTTTTTTTACAAAGTATCATCATCATCTGAGTGTTTTTGTTGATCTTGATCAGAAATATCAGAGGGGTCTTCATTTTTCTATTTTTATCATAAAAATTTTTATGTATGACAAAATAAAAATATGTTATTAATAAAAAATTTGTTCTAGTGAGTCACATTTGTTCATTCAAGTACAGAGTGATTTTTACCCAAAATTTGTATTCAAATACTAAATTGTTTGAGTTAAGACCAGTTTGAGTACTGAGCTGCTACTGCTATATTTCATTTATCATTTTTACAAGTGATTACTTACCTATGGTTAAAAAAAAAATTAGCAACACTTACCTAAACAGGTTTAAATAAACTTTACTAAATACAAATATTAACTATAAAAACACAACACAATGACATCCTTAAGTGCTAAAGTCGAAAGCAATGACAATGACACTTGGATGATAAGAAAGCTAGAACAAGGTAGAAAAAATTACACTATCAGTTTTCATTAAAATAAGCCTGATGAAGGGCACAAAATAAATTGAAAATTTCAATATTTTAAAATCTGTAAGCAAATTTGAAACAACATGCATGCTAACTTGAAGAAAAACTATAAAATAATAGAGTTTGTACTTAAAAATTGTGAAATTTTGTATTGAGGATTTTCCAATTCTTGAATCATGTTAGAGAGAAACTGGAAACAATGTTGTACTGAGGATATCCTCAATGTTCGAACCATGTTGTAGAAATGCAATGTTGTACAAGGAATACCTGTATTTTTGTAAGTACACAAACAGTAAATGCTGTATTTTATATTAGTATGCACTGTGAATGATATTATTGTGTTTTACTATCAGGTTATACCTAGATTTTACTTCACATCAATATCTAAAGAAATTCCAGCAGTAAAATTTCAAAAAGTCCAAAGAAAATTAAAGTGCTAGATTGTTCCCCTGATAGTTATGGTTGGTTGCACTTTCATTTTTCATTGTAAATGAATCAACCATAAAACCCATTAAAGAAAAGGAGACATTTTAAAAATGCAGCAAAATCTTCTTTCTCCCAAAAAAGTAAAAACACAATCAAGATTGTAAAAAAAAAAAACTACTAATCAAAATTCATTACATTTAAAATAATTTGACATTTCTGAAAGATGACAGGATGGTCATGATCAGCCTGTCATTTTGAGTGTCTGAATTGAGCATCAGGAATTTTGAAAGCTAATTCTTTGTTTTACCAAGGAAAAATTCTACCCTGAATTATGCTTCCAAAATTTCACTAACTTATCTAAAGAATTAATGGGGCAAATTATGATTAAGATAAAATTAATAATTATTATTCTCAACACTATTAAATGAATTTTAGCTTACCATTCAGATTTTGTGGGATGTGGACTGTAAGTCAACATTTCTTCTATGGAAATTTCATTACAAAACGTTAACTAATTAAAAATAACAAAATATACCTTTAAAACAGTTTTCAAAATAAATCTTACAAATAATTTTAATGTAAATAAAATTATATTTATTTCATACTCAATAAATTTATTACATACAGAAATAGGAACTTCTATTTTCAACATTAAAATAAAAAAGTTTTAGTTGGTATGTGTCAGCAACACAGAAGTGGAAAACGAGTGGTATCCTTTTGACAAGAGGTTTAAAATTTGATTAAAATTAATTGGACTGTCACTGTTGATTGTGAACAGANTTATAAATAAAATACCAAATGCACATAAATGCACAAAATGTCCCACAAAAATTACTGGCATTTTAAACTTCAAAGAAAAATCTTGTAAAATTGACAACACAATTTGTTAATGTAAAGCTGGACAATAAGAAACCTTTTTCCGATTCTTAACAGTCTAATCCACTCTCTGTCAATTACACTTATGAGTTTCTCCAAATTCTGATTTCCAAATAATCATATGTTTTCATGTGGGAATGGATTAAAACTTATATTGGGCTTCCATGTGATTTTGGAATTTCAATCTGATCTGGAATTAAATTCAAAAGCTTTGCTTTTCCTATTGCTATTCATCTTTACTCCTGACAATATACAAGAATGATTCAAACAACCCAGATAAAATACTTTTGTTTTTGAACAACAGAGGGTGAACATCCAGTAAAAAATGCAAATACATGATTCACAAAAATTATTGCAAAATGCAAAGAATCTTTGCTCGCACACATAGGACGACCTAGGTTTATGCAGCAGTGAAAAATGAATAAAAACCTTGTCTTATATGCAAGTAAATACAGTAAGTATTCAAATGAAAAGCTGTATTCTTTAAGGCTAATTAATTATTAAATAATTAAGTAAGTTGGCTTGATGTAGAGAGTTTAGCTTTCATCATCTGTTAAATTTAATAATTAGCAATAAATTTCATTATAAGTATAATTTTTCTATTGCTGAGAAATTTTAATTAACTGTACAATTTTTCAAAAAATTTGTTCAAGTTTACAGAGTCTGGGTTAGCAGATGTTTACTGTATAGTCAAATAAAAGACAAATATAAAACATTTAGCCATTATTATAAAAAATAGATATGTAATTTGTCTTTTAATTGAAAAATTCTTATTGCAAATTGCTTTTTTTATCACAATAATAAAAAAATTAAAAAACAGTATTTTAAGTTCTATCATAAGTAGAGATGTACTGATTAATCATTTGGTAACCATTAATTGTATTAATAAATTTCTCCAGCAATTAATTGTATCTTAATTAATTCTCCAAATATCTGCGAAATCAATAAATAATCATTCCACTGGAAAAGCATTATTACTGAAATTAAGTTAACATTTAAAACTGAATGATGTTTAAAGAAACAATAGCTTTATTAATAACAATAATTCAGGATAAGCATGGCAACAAATTCAATTATACTAAAAACTGCTAATTTTTTTTATCTGTTTCAAATTAATACAATCATCAAATTTCTACAGAATGTTACATACACGTAACAAATATTGTGTGTTAATATTTAATTAAAATAAGGGTTATTTTTGTGATTGTCTTTACAAGAAACGATAAAAAGTTGTTTTAATTACAGTGCTACAAACAACAATTAATTAATTAAATACAATATTTACATTGATTAATAACAAAAAGATATAATTAAGCAATATGATACCTGAGTTAGGATAAGATTAATTATCATTACACACTGATGATAAAAATTAATAATTTTTTTGAATAGTGCCTCTAAAATTTTTAGTATTCAAGTATGATTGCATTTCACTAACTATTCCATCTTTCACACAATAGTGAACTCAGTGAACAATTGTATATGGCTTAATCATATGATTAACAGAATATGCATTGTTTCTAGCTTTTCTTTAATGTTTTTAATTATATAATGTATTTTATAAATTTTAAATAAAACATTTTCTATTTGCTTTAAAAAATCTTTTATTCATAAACTTACATTTCTAGAGCGAAGTGTCATGGTTCTATGCCTAGGATCAACTTCTGAATGTTCACTGGCATAACATGTTTTATCTGTACCAAGAATCTGTAAATTTACAAAGAAATAAATTTCAATAATAATTTGTCATTGTATAATAATAAATTTTGTAAACATTTTTACCCTGACTGCCCATGATGGCAGGCCCCACTTTGTGCTAATCAAACGGTGTGTTTTTAAAACACCATTTGCTATCTTCCTATCTACAACATCGATTCCAACAACAGCGGGGTTCATAGGATTAGGATATTTTCTCCAAGCAGCTTGTGCAACTGTTTCCCAAGGGTGACTAAAATATTAAATCATTTTATCAATTACTAGAATAAATATTTAATGAAATAAACATATTAAAATTATTCATTACATTTAGCATATAACCATTAATATTTCAGTTTTTATGAAAAAATACAATAAATTCAATTTTGAAAACTAAGAATATTTAGTTTTATATATTTTACAAATTTCTAATATAAATAATAATATCTAAAAACTATGAATTAATTAAAACTACAAATTTAGAAATCCTTTAGTTACATAATGACATTATTGTTATTATTCAAAATAAACCTTTGAGTAATCAGTAAAATATTTATTCAAAAAATAAATATTCAACAATATGTTATTATTCAACTTTAAAATGTCAATGCTTTGAAGTTAATTTTTAAAATATTTCTGGATGATCTTAGGCAATATGAAAACATTCTGTTATTTCCACTATTATATATAATATAGTTAAAGGTTTTGTCACATTGAGCCAATATAGCAGCATTACCTAGGTAATATTACTATAGTAGAGCATTGATTAACCGAAATGTCAATTAACCGAAAGCTTCCCAGTCTGCAAATTTAAATTTCTGCTAGTGCTGTGGCGCTGCAATCTTTGACTGTCTTGGACTACTCCAATATTATTTTTGTTGGTGTGTGTGTTTTAGCTGGCAGCATTGGTGTGACCATGAGAAGGTATTAAGGATGTGCCAGGATTTGAATGGCTTTCAACATGAAATAGGTTAATATATTTTTTTGTACATAATCAGTTATCCAAAAAATTGATTTTCCGAACAACCTCCCAGTCCCCAATTGATTTGGATAATTGATGCTCTACTGTATATGGAAAGCACAAAGCCAAATTATCTATTCTATGGTAGAGATAGCTTCTTCAGTAACTATTGTACAGTATAACAATCTGAACATGAAAAAAATCATGACCTTTTTCATATTATTTAAATTGTTGGAGCTGTTGCAGAAGACATTATTTGATCAGAAAATTTCAATTCAATATTTTCAATCAAAACATGCTAATTTATACATACAAATCAGATGAGCATTCATTAGCAACAAGATTACTTTTAGTTTCATTTTTCTGTAAATATGCAAAGATTCTTAAATTTTTGTTACTAATCAATTTATTTTTGGTATAAATAGTTTGTTCAATATTTAGAAATACTAGATATCAAAATGTGTTGACTTCATGAATTTACTTAAAAAGCTAAACAAAAAAGTAATGGAAAAAATTGAATTTCTTTAAATTTCAAAAATGTCTTCTCAAGGATAATATACAGTAGAATCCTGATAGTTCCAAGGTTCCATATAGTTTGAGGCACTATCACCCTTAAACCAAAGTACTGTACAGTTCATGGAACATGTAAAAATTGCATATTTGGGTAATTCAAATTAAGTGTGTGATGAGACACTACACATTGAAATTGTAAGCAAACTGACAGGTCTAACTAATAGTGGCATTCAACTTATTGCATTGTGAAATGATATGGCAGCTAGATACTCCCAGAGACAGTTGTTACTTGTCCTATACTGTACAGAACATCATGTATTTTAAGTACAATATATTATCATCATTGTTGATACTAAAGTAATATTTTAATATAATATAATGGATGTATTGTTATCACCTCTTTGAGTAATAAGTAAGTGAAATAACAGTTAGGGATTGAAAACAAAATAGAGAAAAAAACTGAACAGTTTCATTTTCATCACAACTCTTAATAAACAGCCACATAAATTGATGAAAAGAACAGAGTACAGTAGAGTCCCGAAAACTCGGCCTAATGTGGACCGAAGGGTGGCCGAGTTTGTGAAAATGCCCAGTTATCGGGAATGGGGTAAAAAAGAGTAAGTACTAGTGTTTCCTCAGAAAATACTGTACTGTATTGTACTTGTATGTATTGTTTGCTTGAGAATACAACAGAGAATAAACTGCCCAAATACCCTTAAACAAAGGAAAAGTATGTACTTTATGAAGGCCTTTACTACATGAAAATGAAAATTAATGAATACACAGTGTACAGTAATTTACCCGATAAGACAGACCTCAGAAAAATACTTTATGAGGCATAAACCTGTCTATAATGAAAATTAACTAGAGGTTTTTTCGCCCTGCCAGGGTGTGGCCGAGTTATCCAGACTGCTGGGTTATCGAGTACTGAGTTTTCGGGACTCTACTGTATATTAAATACTTGACACTTCTGTGTTGCAGCATTACAAATAGTAACTTGTTAAAATTCACAAGTACTCGCAAGTACTTTCAATAGCTTATAGCTATCATCCTCAGGTGTAAAACTGAATACAAATTATTTTCGAATTATCAACTTTATAACAGACTTAAGTGTCAAGTATTTAATATTTGAAAGTTGGCATGAAGTGTAATTTATAGTCATTATGGAACGAAGTATAAAAAAACCAAGCAAAGCTTTGTTCTTTGGGTTTAGTTTGGTTAAGTGCTTATGGAATTTATTTTTTCTTTTTGCTGTAAAAAGCAAAAAGAAACAAGTAAAATGGCAAAACCATATTTGGGACAAGACTATGTCTTGGAGACGGAATCACTTTGATGCTCAAGGCAGGTCTCGTTCTCATTCTCCTATCTTCTTTGATATTGCTGCTTTTGGTAACGTATCTAATTTCAAAATTTCTCTCCGTTGCGTGTTGGCCCGGGTTGAATTTTTGTCGATGCGTAATGAAAAGTTCCCGTCTTTGAAAAAAATAATCGTGCGATCGAAAAATAATTGTATCGTCCGAAATTATTTTTTTATTTTGCACAAACAGTATACAGTTTAACCCGATTATAATGTCATCGAATGTAATGACAATCCTAATATAACGTCAAATTTTTATCAGTCCTACGATTTTACTATACTAGATAATGTTAAAAAAATCCACTTGTAATGACATACAACTGTTTTATCATCATATTTGAAGCACTCCCAAATTTACAAAATTAGATTACAAATTTTATTTAACATAGAAGAAACTGTGTGTTCAGTTCTAAGGTCAGCGTTCACTTCTTAGAATGGCTGTGGGTGGTACTTTCCCCTACCTGACTTAGGTGGGGTGAGGTGGCTGTTTTGCCTGCTTGTAGAAGAGGGTAGCCACTTTGTATTTTATTTTGACTCAATTCTCGGTCCCCTAACTACCTATGAGTCTAGATTTTTTTATGCGCAAATGATTTGGGCACCTAATACTCTGTGCCAAATATCAACTCTCGACATGTACTCCTTCATACCTCTATGCTGGTAAGAACATTGGGCAGTATGATTTTATAAACAAGACAGTCTTATCAAAAATAAATCTCATAAGCACTTTTCTTTAGAAAGGAATTCAAAGAAGGTGAACAATTCTTGGCTTTAATAATTATTAAAGCCAGGAATTGTTATTAAATAATTTTACAACTAGTGTGGAATGGTTAGATAGACCGAAGAAAGATACACTTCCTGGCAGCTAATGATCTGCAGTAAAAAATTATCAACAGACACCAAAGATATACTGTTATTAAAAATGTAAATTTAAGAACTCATGGAAAAATGAACAGCTTTCTTTTGATCAGTTATACATGTGTGATGAAACAGTACTAAATTATAAAATATTGCCATCTAAATTGCTTGCTCATAAAGAAGAAAAGACAGCTTCCAGTTACAAAAGAAGTAAAGAAAGGTTAACCATTTTGGCTTGTGCTAATGTATCAGGAAGACAAATTAAAACTCAATCATACAGAATTCTAAGACTAGAGCATTTAATAATGTTTGTATATCTGAGTTGCCTTCAGTTTATAAAAATCAAAAAAAATTATTGGACAGGAAATTTTCCAAAAGTTAGTTTTTTGAACATTTATTCTTGAAGCAGAAAAGTTTCTCCAGACAAATAATTTACCACAAAGTTATTCTACTTCTTGATAATGCATCTTTTTATCCTGATGGAAAGGTATATTATGAAGCTTTTTTACTGTAAGTTTTTAAATATACATCTAAAAACTGATGTTTATTTTTTTCTTTGAAAAATTTCATTAATAAAATAACAAATAAACAACAGCTAGCAGATTATCATGTTAGATGATTCAAAATGTAATTAGTAATTATAATAGATTTTTATACATAATTATGGCATGTAAACATAAAATTCACAATATAAACAGGATATTTGGGATTTTTTGGTATCTTATATGAATTCAGTAGACATTCCATTTATACTGATACAATCTCAATTTTGAATTAGCCTATAACTTGTGCTAATGTCAACATATCTTATGTGACAATTAAATATAGGAATACGGGCAAAATTTATTTTAATTTACTTTAATTGTATTAACACAAGTGTTTCTGATATAATAAATTATTGAGTTGCTGTCAAATGTTCTTTGTAAAATATAATTTAATTGTTTGAAAATCTGATTGAAAAATTTTTTCAAAAAGTTTTTTCAATGTAGAATTGAAAGAATTCAATACTAAATATCAAAATTTTCAAAAATTTTACTTATTTCTACAATAAAAATTTATATTGTAAATATACAAAAGGCAATAAAACTGAGCAATTCTTATAAATTTAAAAAATGATCTCATTTCAAATTCTCATTATTCTAACTATTCTTAGTGATAAGATAAATTAAATTTGTAAATCATAATTTCCATCTGATCTAAATTACAAAATTTCACTAAACTGATTGTAAATAAAATTAATTAATTTTTCAAGTCATAAATTATAACACTTTATTTACCTACACTACTGAAAATATTTATAATATGATAAACTCTTTCATATTTTAGAAGTAAATTTTAGCTCTTTAGAAAATAACAAGACTTATCGAACTTAAATTCTGAACCAAGATAAATATTAGGTTGGGGGAAAAAAAAATCCATCATTTTGTTGCTAGGCCTATATGGCTGTAGTGATATATATCTCGTAAAGTATTGATGAAACAAGTTCAGACTTGTGCTCGTTGGAAAAGTCACATTCTGTACTAAAAAAATTCTTTTACAGTTTTTTGATTAATCGATTCAGTTGTGA